TTTTTTAAAGATTTTATTTATTTATTTGACAGAGAGAGACACAGCGAGAGTGGGAACACAAGCAGGGGGAGTGGGAGAGGGAGAAGCAGGCTTCCCGTGGAGCAGGGAGCCCGACATGGGACTCGATCCCAGGGCCCTGGGATCATGATCTGAGCCGAAGGCAGAACCTTAACAGCTGAGCCACACAGGCACCCCTTTTCAGTTTCTTTAAAGGGGAAAATGTGTACCTGAATTGATTGTACCTGAGTGGCTATTTTATTCATTTTGCATATATTTTATTAAATTTGTTTGAACTTTCATATTTGCCATACCAGTATTACATCCAGATACTTTTTCCATTTCACAAAACTTTGTGTTTTTTTTCTTTTTCCCAGCCAATAAAACTCAAAAGAGTTAAGAACTGAATCTTTCCAGAGAGGGATAGGAAAAGATAATTTTCAAACTTTTCCAATTTCTGCAAGTTAAAGTAAAATAGATAATTTACTAAAGATTTTGTTAGATTTAAAAATCCCTCAAAAGGTCATATTGACCTTGATTGTGAGAGTTATTAGAAACCATGATGCCAAAGACTCTCAATGTTGGAAAATACTCATCAATCCACGAGGCGTAAAAAGAGAGCAATCTGGAGAGAGAAACATAAGAATACTTTTTGTGTTCAACTACTGATTAAGAGTATGTAATGAAGCAAACAATAGACATAGTATTAAAATTATCTGTTAATTGAATTTGTTTTACGATTCTTATGTATTGGGAAAGTGTGAAAATGATATGCTAATGACTTGATACCAGGAAATATTTGAACTGTTAGGTTTTTGGGAAACTGCCCAAGTGTTCCATATATGGTAGAATATTTTCTTTTTCCTTTAGGCCTATCATTGGTTACTTTTTGAGTAGAAGAGTATAGTTAGTGGGAAGATGTACACAAAATATTAGATTTTTAAAACAAGGAATTAAAGCATTCAATTTACTCATGGCTTTGCTAATCAACCAATCAATTGCTTGCTCTTTTATAATAATATATTCACTAAACTATAAGAATACCCTTCTTTCTTAATTATATACTCTCATTATATGCTCTCATTAATATTTACTATATAATCATTTTAGTGATTATAAAATATTTTTTACTATGAGGCTAAGATGTATAAAATCTTTTTTTTTTTAAACTGGGGGAGGAGGACCTGTTCTCCAGCTAGAATTCCTGCTCAGGAATTTGTATCAGTCAAGGCACGAGGGCTCTGTATCCTCAATGTAGGTTGCTTTGTCAGCAAAGGATCATGAGTTTTACCCAGTCTCTTCTGTCCAGTCAGTCATTCTGAATTCCAAGTAGTAAGCTTTCTGCATAGGTTCGGTTTTCAGTAAGTTTCTCAAAGCTATTTCAAGAATTATGGCCAAATCACCTACATTATGAAACAATTCTCCTGACCTGATTTGTTTTAGAATTTAAGACCAAGAGGAATGATGTATTATAAAGTAGGAAGTCCTATGAAAATGAATTAAGTTAAAACTTTCAAAGATTATGGGTAAGTATGGCAAGATTATGTATCCTATTTCTTCTGATGACATCGTCTTGCTAGCCACTGAGGCCTTAACTCTGTTAGATAAGATTTTGAAGTTTCTGTAGGGGGCCTATCATTTTAGAGAGCTGCGACATCTTTATCATTGACAGTGTGATAAGACTTGGAATAAATAATTAAGTTTTGTTCTATTTAAAATCCTTTATAGGTAATAAACCATAAATTCTTTTAAAAGCTAAGTGTGAATGTATTTAAGGCAATAGCTTTGCTTCCATTTATTTATTCTGTCATTTATCCACTCACCAAAGATTTATTGAGTGCCTGCTATGTACCAGGCACTGTGCTAGTGTGTGTTTTCCAGTAGGAAATGATATTCAGTGTCTGCCTTTATGATGCTTAAAATTTATTAAGGAGATAAATGTGGAAACAGGCAATTTCACTGTGGTGAGTTTAAGACACTGTCATGTCATAGATGAGGAGCACCCAACCTCATCTAGAGGAATCAGGGAATTCTTTCTGGAGAGGTGACATTTAAGAAGAGACACAAAAGACCAGTAGAGGTTTACCAATGTGGGAGATGGTAAGATGCTGTTTCAGATCATTATTTTCTTTGCCTTCAACTTACCATCATGACCTCTTTCTTCTTCTTCATCATCATCATCATTATCATCAATAGCAGTGATATTGTGAGAAAAAAACTAGACCAGTAGTCAGAAGACCTGGCTGCTAGAACGGACAAGATTAGCTAACCATTGAGATAGACTCAGTCTATAAATTCAGGTTTGTAAGAAATATCCATTCATTTTCTGTAGGTCAATTTTATTTTTGACTCTTAGTCACTGAGTGGTGGACAAAATCACTCCAATCACTTTTGAGGTTTTCCCTACTTTTCTGGGATCATGGTAGAGTTCTACCTGGAATGGTGGTATAGTCTGGTCATTGATCATCTCCTATGTAATAGCTTATCCCTAAGACATGAGTTGTGTCTAGATAGTTCTTTTTGGTCTGGCAGTGATTTGCTACTTCCCAGACATGGACTTTTCCCCCCAGAATTTCTGTATTTCTCTTTACCTAGATAGAATTACGATGCCATTCCTTACTGGGTTCTTTCTGCCTTCCAGGCAATGCTGTAAGGAAGCAGAGCCTAGATCCCTGCTGCCTTGGAATCCAAAGACTTCTTTCTCTCTTCTTCAGCTGAGAAAATATTTTTCTAAACTGGGGAGGTGCTAGGAGATCTCTCTCTCTCTGTACATACATGCGAAGCTTTCTTTCATCTCTGTGGCAAACTCTTTTACTCTGAGAGTTTAGGCTGTAGGAAAACAAAACAGGAATAATTTAAAAATCACTGTGTTTTTGTCCTGGCACATGCCTTCCTTCAGATAATAAAATACAAAACCAGTTACCTGCTTAGATGAGAAGAAAGAAAATGGGCAAATTTAGGAAGAGAAAAAAATTAATACCTCAAAGTGCCAATGTCCCACATGTACAAGAGTTTACATGCCTCCTTATGATGATGCCACCAGGTGACCTTGTGAAAATCAAGTAATTCTTCTGAACTTCAGTTTCCTTTTCTTTTTTCTTTTTTTTTTTTTTT